CGGAAGTATTAACTGATTTCCTATTATTCAATGGTTTGAAAAGGCAAATGTTACATAGTAATAATATACGTATAATTATTTATTCGTTAAATGATTTTTAAATATATACCAGTATTGTACTGATATATATTTAAAATTTATTTTTAAGATCAGGTGTTTATGAGAACAAATTAACCAGTATTAATCGGTAGGTACCTATTATTGATAGATTGTCATTAAGACTTGTGGGTCACTCGGCCGGCAACAGCCTCTGGCGAATCGCCTGCGATTGCCAAGTGCCCCTTTCTAACCTTTCAAATAGCGTTATTCAGCGGATTTATTGTATTGATAATAAAAAAATGTAAATTGAGGCCACCATTAAACGCAGACTCAATCTTCCCTCGTCCCTGTCAACACGGCTTTAACAGATTAGTTGAAATTATTGAAATGTCAGCTATTGTTTACTGTAATATGATATGGGTGGTCGTGAGTCCCTACTAGTTTTTATGAAACTGTTTATGTATGTAAATTGTCCCAAGTACATTTTACGCCATTTAATATCAATATACATATCTAAATTTACGGTACATTTGTGGATTTACATTGTAGCCATGTTACCATAAGTAATGATATTGTCGGAATTTAGAAACCCAATTTAGGTTTTTAGGTTTTTTTTTATGAAGATGATATTATGGTGGTTCTCTCTGCAAATTTGGTACAGTGGCAGATACAACGATAGTCACAAAATTGACATTGACATATATGAAAGATTGTTGTTCAATTTCATATTTTTCTTTTAGGTTTACATTATCGGCTATAAGAGTCAATAATTAGTGTAACCTCTACGACTATATATTAATAAGCCATTTAGTTTTATAAAAAATAAACAGATTCTTGAATGTTAAAATAAAATAGAATGAATTCGTAGGTGTATCTGCAGCTGTCCGTTATTTTGAGATAAATCTTTCTAAACGCAAATGCCACTGCCTGCGTATTTCATGTACTGTAAATGTCAAACATAGATTCTCTCGTTCTTGTAAATGCTTATGAGCTAATTTTAATTATTAAAATATTAGCCAGATATTCCTGTGAGAAACATTTCTGTACTTTAATTTAGTTAAGAACAGAAATGCTTAGAATACATTATACATTTTGTTTTATTATCCTGTATATATGTATACGTACAAGAAAAAATGATATTTACGAATAAATAGAATGATTGGAAAATTTAATTTAGAAAAGCTCTTATTGGGAATCATTATCAAGAGAGTAAAACAAAAAAAAATATTGATAGAATCTTGATTGTTTGTCTGTAATTCTGTACAGTTGTTCCGCTATTCTACCAAACGCCGAAAATACATGTTTTATTCCCATAGGTGTACAATAAAAAAAGTTATATGGATTGCGAGTTCAGCTAATTTATAACAAATACTTAATTAATGAGAGTTATTATCTACCTACCCTACATATACATCTAGTGTTAAATAGCAAATTATCGCAGTAAAATCTAGAAACTTCAACAGCTATTTCTTGTAGATATAACTTAAGAAAGCATTAAGAGGTCTTAGATACTTCCCACGGATGTTAAAGATTGAGGGTTAAGTACGAGCAAAGTCGTAGTAAATAGCCAATTCATTATATTTGACTTATGCTCTTGGTAACCACAGAAAATCAAAATTATTCAAGACAAACTACAAGTGCTCACCCTACTATGATTGTGTTGTTAATATGACAATGTGTGCTTAAAAGACAATGTGGATGCGGTTACCCTGTGCCCACTCTATGATTGATTGAGTACAGGGTTGGAGGTGCTCCCCCCGACCCCCACTCGTCTAGCACCCAGCACCCCCAACGACTGACGCCCGCTGAGACAACGTTGCTTGACATGTTGTTCATTTGTTCTGATTTGTTAGACATCCGGGCGCACTACCGCCACCTACATCGAACATTATGTGATTAGAAAACTAACTTCCTACCAATTAATTAGCAAGTTCATTCGTAGCATAACCTATATAACGTACAAGTTTAGAAGCTGTCATTTCTGAACATTGTTAGCTTTACTTGGAAATGTTTTAGATTGCATCGATTGAATGGTTTAATTAAATTTTAATAATATCAATGTTGTTACCTATACTCCGTGTGGTAACAGAGTAATAATGGAATTGCTCTATCTCGACTTCAGAAAGAATAGGATTGAGTATTAGATCATTGCATAGTAAGAAAAGGAAAATTTTAAATAAAATCTTACCAAACTAGGAACAACCATTATGTCCACGTCGAATTGTATAAAATCTTTTTTTAACTAACATCAAAAAGGAAAGTCTTCAATTGGATTGTTATTTTTGTGTTTATAGAGTTACATACCCCTGATGTAATGTTAGCCGCGATTGAAGTCATGTTTATTCAATCCTTTAGTGTTGAATAGCCCCTTTATCGACACAGACAATAACATTCCGAGAACAATCAATAGGAGTAGATCTGCAATGAAAAGTATTGCAAAAAGAGGAAAAAATGTAACGCAGACAAAGCACGGGTTCCACGCACGGGTCAGTTAGTTTTAATACTTATAATAATATACCTCTATAAGTGTAGATAGACTATATAATAATTTAACATATTGCAACAGCAACTAACAAAATCAACAACAATAATCATGTTTAATACTCATGTGAATAATTGAAAGTAATTAGTAACATTTAAGTCATTACAAATAAGTGCCATAAGTGGTCGGTCATCAAAATTGCATAGAGCACAATGTCAATGGCCGATTAGATGAACAATTGATCGTAAAAGGACATCATATTGGCTATTAAACGATCGGAGGGCGTTAATTGGGACATCCTGGCTATAGCGCATACCATTCAACATGTGTTAAATATTATGACTTTATTATTCTACATAATGGTATGTAATTATCCACTGTCGCTCTGGGACCACGTAATGGCCTGCCCTTCTCGTTTTCATTCTTTCATTAGCGTAATTATCATTGTCGTGCTATGATATACTTAATGTAACAATAAAAAACTAATTTACTATCATAGTATGGTCAGATGGAGCTTAAGGATATCTTTACTAATTTAACAATAGATTTACTCAAAAGCATACTTAGAAGTACTGCAATATATTTATATATTATATAGTTCTTCTTATGTTACATTATATAGTTATATTGCAAAAATTTAATACTTATATTTAGGATAAATCAATGATGAATCCTTGGTAAGTTAATTTCTTTTCTATCTATTACGCATGATAATGGGGAGAATTGTACAATTTTATTGTAATCCCTAGGTTATTGTTAGTAATAAAAAAAAATTATTGTTTAAATCATCTTACTGTAATCCTGAGATACCTACAAACATTTACCTATAACTTTTTCCGCGTGACCGTAATAGATCAGAATATCAACTATACCAATTGAAAATATTGACTACAATAATTATTCCACCTCATTGAGGATTTTTTTCTCAGCCATTTTTAAGTGAAACCTTAACACAAAAGACAAAAAGGAGGTTAGGATTATGTTTTTGTGTCGTGGTTCTTTTATATTCAATCTGTGTGTTTTTAATCAAGTGTCTATCTCTTTGGAAGTTCTCAAGCCACGATGTTAACTAGGTGTTTCCGAGGTCCCCCTTCACGGAACGGGTATTAATTACAAGATGTCGTCGAGGCTAGATATTCATCACGTCTCTGCCGCCCGACTCGCTTCATCCCAGAGGTGCGGTCTCTAGATAGCGCCTCTTTAATAACTTTATAGTTACAAGATATAAGTGTTTGACTTTTCTGATTATTAATTAATTAACTGTGATGGCTTATTTAAGTCTTTACATTTATCAACTACGACTATATACTACTACTATAAGTCATAATATAGTTTTTCTTTTACTTTTTACGTCTTATGACAAACAATTGTCACATACGCGATATCTAGCTCGAAACATACCATGCTCTTTTATAATTTGTATTAATAACGTCGGGATTTTACTCATAAAACCTAGCATTTCCGTTGGCAATGTTTGAATCCGCTTTAGTAGCAACCAGATAAAGTGTGATTTTTCCCGATTGCGACGAATGTTTGAATGTGGTCGTAGATAACACAGTAATCAATTCTGTTTTTTTGTAGTAATTATATAATATTATGGACAGTCATATAAATTATTCGTTAAATTCTTTTTGCTCCCTTTTTGTTAACAACAATGGCTTTTTGTTTGGAACTGTACAAAGGATCCATGTTGTACAACGCCCATCTTGTTATCGCGGTTCGCGTTTTTTTAACAAAGTATAGCAAGCTCTTGCTTGCATGTGGCACACCGCGTAGCTTGATAACTAATTAATCACTGCCTCAGTAAGCGGCGTGATTTCCTGTGGGAGTGAAAAATGCTGAATAACGATAAATGTGAGAAGGGTCAAGCGGACGCAGCTGTCGCACCCGACCAGCTTCACTTCAATGATATTTCTTTAATGTTGAGACGTTTTATAGATCAAAATATTTTCTAAATCTTCTAATCCAATGAGTAACAGGTTAAATATATGCAGTAGGTAAAATGATGTAAGATTTTATTAAAATACTAGTGGACCCGGAAAATGTGATGTGGTTCTACTTGGAAAATAGCGCACCTTACCAAGTCCGAAGATATTTATTAAACAAAAACCTGTTAAAATTTTTTAATCAAATAAAGTTAGCAGTCCCTATATATGTTAAAATCACTAACACTATTCCTTTTTTATTCCCATAATGACACTGATAGTCTGTATAAAACTATATAAACTGTCTGGCCAACATGATTGTACCATTACAATTCATCCATATGAATTCTATTTTTATAAGAAGAAACCTGTGTACAGTCAAGAATGTGTTATATAGCTAATTTTTTATTTATTTACATTGTATAGATATATTGCCAATCTATTTAAATGTATCCACCGCAATAAAATTTAACAAAACAGCCGTTAATTGAGACAGATTAATATATATGTAAAGGGATATGTAATTGAAACATATGTATATTTGTAAATTTCAGGAAACGTATAGACGGTGGGCGTGCAGTACAATGGTGCCACTATGGGTAGAAGAAGGTGCGGAAGAGGGAAGCGACGAAAGCGGCAGGTCGCGGCGCGCGCCCGCCGAACACGCAGCGCGCTGGCACGCGCGGCACCTCGAGCGCGTCGGCCACTTGGACCGGCGGCGCAGCGCCGGCGGCGGCGTGGTTGGCCGGTGGGTCCGCGCCGCCGCCGCCGGCCCCGGCCGGCCCCTAGCACGGCTCAAGCCCTGCCTCTCAGTTTGTCAGCTCGTCGAGCAAAATTGCCCTTACTTCCTGCCGGCGGACCGCGCGCCCGCCTACCCCACACAGTACGCTGGCGAGCCCACATTCCTATGTCTTGGTGAGGAAATTGGTTTAAATTACATTTATTATAAGTAAAAGAAGAGATTTAATGACTGCCATTAATATTGAATAAAAAGATAATAATATATTTCGTCGTTAGAGATAAGATACATTTTTAATTACATAGCAATCATTTGTGAAAATTACTTTGAAAAAAAAAAAGTGTTTTGACACTATTTTTTATATGTATTTGGAATGGCATAGAAGCTGAATGGCTGACAGTTAATTGTAAGTGGTATACGTCGCCGATATAACCCTACGTTTAAAATGTTTCGCCCGTGATACCACTCATACGTTTCCATTCCGGAAGACTACTACTAATATGACATGCCTCTTATCCTGTTATAAAACAAAGTTGAATTTCAGCAGCTGAATTTCAGGACTTTGTTTTATAACGTTTGTTTTATAATTAGATGAAACCCTGAAGGTACCCACGTGGATGAGACGTGGATTCTTAGTGAAGTCTCACTTCACTTTTATAAAGATAGAGTCAACGAACCACACTTTTTTTAAATACGTTAAAACTAAAATATGTTAAAAAAAATTGACATATTGCAAAATAGCACATAATATAAATAATTATGGAGTTGCATCAAGCCTCAGTGCATGAATTAACATACATTACTTTCCCAAAATCGCTTGGCTGCAGTTCAAAATGTCAAGTTGGCACAAATGGTACCTTACTGCTTTTAAGTTACAGAGGGTTTTATTTTCCTCTGGGAACAATTTTTTACCAGCTGTGACTTTATTCATTTTGATATAACACATATCTTACTGCCAGATATGAAAGCATTCTGATATGGTAAACGCTTAGATTAAAAAGTAAAACATCATTATTAACATAGATTATCGGGTCTTAACACGAAATAACAAGCAGCGTTTGCGAGTGTGGCTTAATTCTGGAACTGTGAAGATGGCTTAAAGTTGTCATCGGTGTGCAATCCTGTGATAGATAACAGTGTATCATGTGTTTCACGATCTTTAGTTGGATAATCTATTGACGGTAGGTGAATAAACTGCTTGCACCTACCAACATTGATATCGTAGTACTCTACCTAGTAAGTTTATGATCACGGCTAGTGAAACGTAGTTGAAACGTCGAGAGAGGTAAAATTACCATTATTACGATAAATTTATTCGTGTTAAGTCACGATTAACTATATTAATAATGTGTACTGAACGCGATTAAATTATGATGATGAAGACCAACTAGTTTAGTTAATGTAATTTAAAGTAACTAAACCAACTAGTCTATAATATTGCAATTACCTACTTGAAACCTTTATAGTATTTTTTTATTTGTACCAATTTCTATTTATCATACATTAATGTTACAAATCGTTTGCAATAATACTAGGTCTAAGAAGGTTTATCCAGAATTCCAGATAGTCTAAAATTAACATTTTTTATTTAAATTATTTTTTTTATTTTATTATTTATCAATTATTAAGTTTTTTTATGTCAATTTTAAAAATTAACATTAGTTTTACACAGGACTATATATTAATTTTATATTTTCCTTAGTTCTATGTTATGTAATTATTTAGTTATTTATATTACATATTAAAAAGATTAAATTCCATATTGTACACAATTAAAAAAAATCAAATTTATTATTATTGTTTTACGTCATATATCAAAAAAGTAGAAAACAGCTACATAAACCGTATGTAACTGTCAACTTTTAACAGCCTGTTAGTAGAAATGTTTTGGACTATCCACTAACTCTCGTATGTTATACTGATTTATAACGATGTATTTATTTAGGCTTTGCACACGTTACATAATTTTCGGGTTAGAGGGTTTTAGAAATTTTCGAATGTATAATTACGGAAATGTACGAACATTTCCGAAAGAAACAATTCTTACTAATCTTTGCGTTAATAAAGAGAATAACATAACTTAACCGAAAAGTTTATAAAATAAAACTCTTACAGCGAGTTGCACGATTAACAATTTCAGATCCGCGTATTCCGGAAACTGGTGCGCAGGCCAACAAATCCAACTATGGACCGGATGAGTGCTGCTACTGGTACTGCGAGGGCCGGTTATGCTACCGGTGCGAGGCGAGGCTCAACGAAGCCCCGCGCCCTGACGCCGAGCGGTGCGCGCCCGTCGACGAGCGGGTACCGACCTGCTCGGTGCCATACCAGGCGCCCGCGGCGGCGTCTACGCCACGTGCCTCCATACCTTCCCACCTTGTGCTAATCGCAGCAGCACTCATGTTCGGACTCGTGGCGCAATCACGGACCCACTGGACAGCGTCCACGTCTCTAGTGAATGTGCGCGATTCAAGGTTATAGTTTTACGTTATCGTGCGTTGCACCCCCACGTCCCGCGATCGTCGGATTGCGATCGGAACTTCTATTAGTGCTGTACTTATGATAATAAATTACGCGCGGTTACGAGTTCGATGATCCCCGCGACTCGCGGTGGCGGGGCGCGGATGGCCGCGTGCCGCCCCCGCGAGTGCGCCGGCGATATAGACTGTAAGTTAATATTTGTGTCCGAATGTTCGATACACCCGAAATATAGAAACACCAAATGTTCAGAAATTATTACTTATGCAATTTATCTCGTAAGCGCTGTTTGCCGAAGTTCCGGCCAGTATGTTAATATTTTCGGCACGAATTGTAAACGAACCCATATTTTTAGTTTAAGTGAAGATGTTATATTATATATTTTAATTAGTAATTTACAGGTTACGTGATGTGATTCATAGGCAGTCAATAGATAAATTGAGTTCATTGAAATCAGCATGAATTCAGCATTTACTTAGAAATAATGTTGGGCAAAGAAGAAAAGATTTAAGCGAATTGGTGCGTTAGGGATTTGTGTGTTGATAATTTTTATACGAACAGTATACAGCGTATATTAAAAGACAGACATGAATTAAATAGTTGCATTAATTCTTTACAAATCGTTACTCTGTAATGAAATAACAAAAAAATCGAAACAGATTCCGACAAATTACTAATTGACACATACATTATAAGGATTTTTTGTTTACAATAGCGAAACAAGAATTGGAATCGGTTTTTAGAGAGTTATTTTTGTAATGATGCATAAAAATACGGACGAGTAGTATGTGGGCGAGAGCGGTAACAGTACACATGGTATAGCATAGTAGGCAGTATTTTGGAAATGAGTATGGGGTCTACGGGACGCGCTCAACATTTCCTTGCACATGCCGCGATCGCTCCGTGCCTTGTTCCGTCAGCGAGCGCCTAAATAGCTGGTCTATATATGATATTGACTAAAGTAATATAGGATTAATTAAAGGTAGTTGTTGTTTTGTAAGAAATAAATTATGACTAAAGCATATAATGAAAGTTATATGTAAATATCCGTCTTATGAACTATCAATCAATATAATGCAGATATAACATGGTTGAAAATGATTTTTATATGAATTGATTTTTAATATATATTATTGTATATGTATATCGTGTCGTATAAATGATATTGATGAAGCAACCTTCAACATGGGTATTGTCGTTCACATATGTATAGGTAACAATATTTGTTAGTTCGTTTTATTTTTGAAAAATATTAAATTATAGAGGTATCGTTGAACATTATGTGATCGAAAACAAAATATAATTAATGGTTATTAAGACTTTATTGAATGGACATTTGTTGAGAATATTGTCCTCAGGCGGGGATGTAGTTGTTGTATTCAAATGATAAATGATAATAATATTAAGTAAGTTATTTTTTACGTTTTTATCGTGTACATATGTCAAAACGGTTTGTTGTTTCCAGTCCCGAACTTAATCAAAGTCACCGAAGGTGCTAGAGGTCTATTACTGCTTTTTAAGTCTTTTGCTTCATTAACTTATACCCGAACTTTATCTCAGTCTGATGATTGATGTAAATAGTTTGCGAGCGGTGGGGCATAGTGGGCACTGAGCAGCCAATAGTGGACGAGAAAAATCAGGAGGTTTAGAAAAGGCAAAAGGCATCTTAATATAGTTCGAGTCATATACATTGTATAACCAAATTAATAGGTATCTGAGGGCGTAACATTAACGTATTAGTAGAAAAATAAATGCTTAAGTGGCATACGATCCCATCAGGTAGCTAATGGCGTTGTCCACATGCTCAGCTGTCTTGCTCACAGGGTATCACTTTGTAACAGTGTCTCGATCATCATTATACTCAATACCTACTCATTTATGGTATCACAACTAATATATATTTATATATCTTGTTTTATTTTGAAGAGAACATTCCATTCAAGTAATCGAAAAAAGTAGTCTAGCTATGAAAGACGAGTCGACAGTATCATACCGAATAAAGTAAGTCGTTATTGTTTCAATCCAATATCAAATTTGCTAGTGATCTCTAATGCCTTCACTTTCCTTGAGGTGAAAGCGTCACATAACAAGGATATTTGCATTTAATCATCAGGATTGCTAACGCTATTACTCCTTTTCTATCTGAACCCGCAGTTATAATTGTTTATTCGCAAATTAGGATCTTTTTCATTGTTGTATCATTAACTTCAGAACTAAAATTATACACTAATAAGTCAGAGAGTTTAATATTGAGAATCATAGTGATAGTCTCTTCAAGAGAATTTATAAATAGGTATTAGGGTCGAATTATTTACACTAAAGTTCCAAGTCGATTGTTTACAACGTTGTACTTAATACATCATAATTCTTAAAATTGCATTAACTCATGGATAAACTTATTGCAATTAAACTTATTACTTTGCAATATCTTAATATTTTTTTAAAAAGTGTTAATTGTACAGGGTATACCTACTTGGGCAGAAAGTTAGTGAGAGTATTTATAAAATTGAACAAATGAAGTAAAATACAGTCACAAAAGAAGTGACGGGAAAATAAAAATAACTTTGTATCACTCATACAGGCTACTTAATCCACGATGATCTATTCAGTGTGAAAAGTTCAATTTTTGTTATTACTTTCTTGGTGGTATATGTTCAGTTTTATAACTATTCTATCTGCATTTTGACTTGGTGTCTCCTTTACTATTAACTCTGTATAAAATAAAAGTTGGTATTGAACATAAAAGTGAAGTATTGTACCAAATTTATTATAGATACGCATCTAAATACGAATAATTATTTACCTTTTTATAAATACCTTTAATGGGCAGACTAGTAATGTTAGGTATTTCATCGCCCTCTCTATGGGGATTCCTTCACAATATCTACGTGTATCTATGTATAAATTAATTATCAAGGTGTCTAAAAATTAGTAATAGAAAATGAATTACTAGAACATAAAAATAATTGGAACAATTTCGAGCACTCGTTAAAACTTACACATTGACCGTACATTCCTTCTTTGTGGGTGTTTCTACTCTATACTCTTGATATCTTTACTCGTTCACTATTCTATACTAGAGTAGATATTAAAAGACCAAAGGAGAGGAGTTCGGTTCGAATGTTGTTTATACATACAATACTTTCCTTTTGTATCTACAGTTCAACGTTCACTACAAAGTTGAATTATTTGAACATTGATTTATTTATATTTTACATTTTCTTCGTACTATATGAAGATCACTCGAAGATCTCAAATTGCAAGTAGATATAAAACTATTTCTCTGGACAAAAAACCTTTCCAATGTTAGTTTGTGAACGTTCATTTCGTAGGGACACAAAATTAGCAATAATTCGTAGGAATAACTGATTAATCATATAGATTTCACAAGTTATCCATGAGTGATTCGAGCTCGTAACGAGCACCCAGCAATGTCGTTAACTGATGATGCCAGGGTCGGTGGCAGCAAGCGGGCTCCCGTGGTGGGCGACACTCGGCCTCCGTGGTAGGCGTGCAGAATGTTCCCAGCTTGTGTCCATTGAGATATTGAATGCTACAGTGTACTGGAGAAGACATTGCACTTCATTAAAACATCATGAGCTACATTAAAACAAAATAAGTCATCTGTATGCGACTTTTTGCAATTGATTTCATCAACATTGAATCAATAAATAAAAATAAAAAGAAATATTATCATTTTACTAATCCGATAAGGGCAGCCTTAAAATACAGTAGGTAAAGCTATAGTAAAACATTATGCCAATTATGTAGTTTCAACATGTCTACTCTGTTATGCATTTAGTTATATTTCTTTATCAGGAAATTACCTAACTACAAAGCGTCTATCAATTGACTGACAACGTGCCGCAATCGATGAAGGGTAAATGGAATGCGTTGTCTCCTCTAGTACTTTCGCTAGTATATAATACCTCAATGGTTGGAACACGTACATTCGCAACACGTGCCCTTTTGAGTAGGTATAGTATCACGGGTGTATTTTACGTTGAACGTTTGATGATAGTGTGTACATTATGTTTTTGAATAATATACGTATGTTTTGATGTACATAAATAAAGTGTAAATGTTTAACGCACAAATAATATGATCAAGAAAGCTGATTATGTAAAGCAGTGTACGAAAACTTATGTATTTAGCTGTAACTGAGCGGTAATCGATTAGAGATACGAACTTAGAAATTTCTGTACTCCGTCTGCCGCCGCGAATGTTTTCTCTTATTTACGATACCATATTTGTTTACTTCATATTTATATTAGTTTCCTTATGTTTGCGGCGGCAATTCAAAGAGTCCATTTTAATTGTTAAGAGGGATTTAACTAGCTATACTATTTGGAAGTATAAGTTCTGTTCCATTAGGTTTATAGAGCCACTCAGTTGACTGTCACATGTGCGCACAAAACGCAGAGAAAACGCTTTCGGGGTCGTCCATATTTATGTCTACTGATACGTTCGACGTTCACGTTAAAGTAGTGCAATATTCAATAGCGAGTAATACAAGAAAAACACCAAATATTAGCCTTTTATCTACAACAATAATAATGTCTATATAACAGAGCTATAGTAGCTAGGTACATGTCCGCGACCATGTTGATATTGATATTTTTATAAAATAATACATAACTTATCGTATATGAATACTGCCGGTTAAAAGTTGCTACTGAATTACAAATATTGTATCCGTGGTATTAAAGTGTAAAGAGAAACATGAAACTCTTGTAATCTAATAATACCACATATTACTATGAGAAACAACGAATTATTTACTCGGATGTGGACTGCATGTAGCAACTATATATTTGATTTGATAAGAGTTATTGGTGAAGCCGCGCAATATATTATACTTATGTCAATATGAAATGAAACGTATTTATGATTGATAAATTTGTTGGCACATATAAAGAAGATATATAATTGAAAATTACATAAAATCTATTAATACATGTAAATTAATGACAGATTTTATGTAAATATGCTCATTATGTGATTTGGGCTTTAGTAATATATGATATCAACACATTGTTCTTGCCTCTGTCATTTTGAGTAGTTTTATATATTAAATAGAGTTTACTATACGACCAAAGCAGCAGGCTGCAGGAGTCTATTGTGTTATTTGTTGTTACTAGTGCATTTTAACATTGTGCATACATTTGAGATTTAATAATATAGGTACATGCACCTTACGGATGTTCCTATCACAGAAATACGGTGTGGAATTAGAATATGTCGTACTGCACAATATACCTATCTAATCTCATCTTATCTATTTATGGCTTCTATAACTTGATCTATGTCACATGGAGTGTGATAAGTACATACCACAAAAGTCCTATATGGCCTTCACTTTTTAAAGGAAAGTGATTAGTATATTAAGGTACCAATTGATCTGTATAAAAAGTCTTATGATGAACCAGATACATAATAATAAATAGATATTATAATATTTGTTACGTTGTTTTGTAGAAACCTACAGATCGCATGCTTAATAATAAACTGCAATAACTAAAAAAAATGTAAAATTGACTTGAAGGTTTTTGAGCTTGAAAGTTTTAAAGTCGATTTCACAAAAAAGTTTTTGTTATGAGTTAATGCAGTTTGTTTCGAGTATTAAGCGTGCGATATATATATATATATATTATGTATCTATTAAGAAATGTTTGTATGTCATGTTCCAACCCCGAAAGTTTCTCTTAGAATATTTTAACTGTAGTCGATTGAAATTTTATTATATTGAATTAGTTGAATTATTCCAACATTTCATTTTGAAGTGTGTATTTAATACTGACAGTAATTTAGAAAAATCTATACTTTGGCTATACTCATGAAATATCTTTTTATTGTCTAAAACTCACGAACCTTTTCTTATTACTTTTCGTCAAGTAGAAAATTGTATCTATTTTCTTTCAACTCAATCTCCAAATATTAATAGTTCAATCTCTACTAACGCATTAATATTTAGTTGAGTTTCAGTACTCCTAGAATATACGGTAGCTAATTAAGGGGTTTTTCTAAATTCTGCAGCATGTTTAATTCAAGTGTCTGTTCATAAATTAGTATAAATATAATGTATGTAATTAGTGTTATTTCCATTTAAATATAAATGTTTTGTGTTATTTTGATAGAATTATGTTGGACCTAGTATCCAGCTGTAGACAGGCATATGTTATATTGATAAATAATTTGTTTAGTTATATTGAAGGACACTTTCTCACAACACGTTTTATACTACATAAACAATGAATTCATATATGATTGACGTGAATGAATCTTTATTTATAGGACGATGTTATTTCCAACATCACGTTGATTCTATTATTCCTAATTAGTTCTAGATCATACTAATATATGATTACGACGACTTAAGGGCATACACACTGTATGAAATATTTATTTTAGATATAAAATTTCGATTGCACCAGATAAATATACTTAATTACAAAAATTTGTGAAGTATTCCTGAGGACTGCTTGACGTATTCTTAAAAAATATAAATTATATCATTAAAAATGCCTAATTCATAGTGAGAGGTAGTGTAGTGTAAAATCTTATCTCTAAATAATTAAATCTGTAAGCACAAGTCGGCGTTATGGCGAGGGTCACGGCGCCGACGCACACTGCCACAAGCACGCGGGGCTCCGGTATATTGATATGATCTAGGATGTGTCGTAGGTGTTTCTCGAGTAGTGATCGTGTAATAAGTCTTATGTTACGCCTTCTAAATGATTATAAATCTGTTAGTGTGCGGTGCGGGATCGCGGGCGAGCGCGGGGCGGGATGGCGCGTGCTACGGCGCAGCGTCACAGTCGCGTCCCAGTTGCGTTACAGTTACGTCTCAGCTGCGTCACAGCTGCGGCGTAGCGCCGCGTAGCGGGCTCCCGTCGCCGTCTAGCTGCCGCTCGCCGCGTACCCGCCTCGCACGTAGACATCGTTCGACACTCGAAGTAAGATTAATCACGTTCGAATAATCGTAGACAGATTTTGAAATTTAATATTATTTGCATTTTCCTAAGAGTTAGAACGATTGAGACAGTAGGTCGCATGACCGTGTTATGATGAATTGTGGAGATGTTTATTAAAAAATACGTTTATGAAAATGGAATAAAAACGAAAAATATTGTCATATAAACTTGTAATTACTAACTTAAGAGGAATTATTGGAGAACCAGAAAAACGTTAAATAAACCGATTAAAATACATAATGTGTCTCATTTACTTTGGTGAGTTATAATAAAAATAATTAAATATTAATATAGAGGTATTTTTTATAGAATTCCAGTGAAAAGTCCCAGTCGTTATTAGTTTAAATATTTTAATACAAAAATCGTCGCTTACGTCAATATCACACTCGAACTTACATCATCTATTTATATTAAGTATAAAAACTATGACTTCGATATAAATTATCGTTCTTGCAACAGTATAAAAAACGCATTCGTCATCACAGCACAGCGTTCGCTATACACAATACACCGAACGCTAACACGCACACAACACACGATCACAGTCAGTGACGCGGTCCGGCCGAGGAAGGCAGGCCGCGGGCTGAGAGCCGCCAGCGCCCGCGCCCGCACGCCGGGCCGCAGGTAGCGGGGTGGGGGGAAGGGTTGCTGTTGCTGCTAGGGGGCGCTACACATGCCACGTCCGCCACGCAGTCAGCGCCGCCGCCAGCACCAGCGCAACGGTCGCACTTGAAGCGCTATTTCCGCCGTTATTGCGCTCTGTATCACCCTCATCTGCACATCACACAACCAAATATTAGCTATTAACATAATATCATAATACAATTTTTTATGTGTGCAATTGTGCCTGTGGTCTATTGTGATTCACAAACATTCACTAAACGAAACAAATTAGACGACGACATTGATTAATTTAATGATTACGACAAAACAGTTATGATTGACAATGTTCGGACATAGCACATAAGCAAACAAACAACGCGTTCGTAGGTATAATATCTTAAAAAAGTGAAAACATATAAAAGGATGTTTACGAAAGGATAATAAATGTAAATGGTAGTAAACCTACAGATGTGAGTGAGCGATGTCACAGCGGAGGACGTATCTAGTCCTCCTAATGATTACGTAGCGGCAGGAGCCACTAGCGCAGATACGACATACTAGAGTCTAGCCCCGCTTGACTGAACGCTGATCACTGAAACATTAACTTGCTTTTAGCAAGGTTTGTTTGTAAAACCGCAACCGGTGCCTCAACCCGTCTGTGCATACTACACTACTGTATATTATAACACAACTAATACTCATTGATTTCTTTGACTATGATTAATTATTTACACATGCAATACTATTATGTTAGTTTCACTCGGATATTATTCCAAACTTCCTATACTAAATTTTATATTGTTTTATTTAGATAGGTATATAATATATACATACATACACTGATATCTTTTTGTTTTAATTAGTTATTTCTCAAATTTATAATTCATATATTTTATCTGTTACAAACCATGCACAAATTTTAATGTTAGTGACTTTATCAATAATATAAAAACAGTGGTCTATTAGATACGCTACTTATTTTTATAACTATGTACGGGACTTTAACGAGCTTACTACGTTTTCGTCTCTTGCGACTTCGTAAACTCGTTCTTTCAACTTCGTTGTTTCAACTTCATCCGGAAGCATTCAGGGTGAGAACGGCGCGTCCGTTACAGTGTGTCGCCTAGCATTGTCACGGATGATGTCGCAACTATTGTTTAATTTTATTAAAACAATTGTCAAGAAAGGCAACAACATACTAAGTTCATTAATTTCCCTTTAATAGTTATAAAATATTAATGCAAAACTACACTGCAATCGATATTATTTTATGCTAAAACGATCCTTTCCATGTTATAGTGCTCTTTGTATCGAAGTACTCGTAAATTGCCTCCCCCTCGTGGAATGTGCGTTCATCAAATAACAATAGTATATATACATGTCTTACGTTATTGTATCCTGATGTTATACCTTCAACACGAAAACCTTTATCTTAGTCTTCGGTACGTCTAAAAACCGACAATAACTTTGAGCGAAGAAAATTGTAAAATATAACCCAAACCCGTTTCTGTGTAAAGGTGATACCAGAATATTAACTTATCTATGCTTACCTAAAAGTAATATTTAAGCTAATTAATCTAACTACCACTTTCCTATAGTAAACATAAGTGAGTGATTTGTGACTGTGATAATGTTTGTTAATTTGAAAGCGGGCATTATTACATAAAGATTAAGCAGAGTACATTCTAGAAAGTGTTTGCATGATTCCAGCACTAAGCATATAAGTTTTAGCATGCAACAGAGAACCATTCGATTTAAAGTGTAATGTAATATAACGTACAGGCAGCGTGTGACAAGCTCGCCGGTACTAAAATCACCGCTTATGTCTATAATCTCCCTGGTATTCACATATATTCTCCTAGTAACTAATTGAGTCTTTGTTCTTTATGCAATTTCTCTATATACAATGTTCAGGAACTCTCCACCGAGGCTATTTCCTGAACCAGAAGAATGACCTTGGAGCGGATGATTTTACACCTAGAAAAAAATACACGACACACACATAGAAACGTGAACCAGGCACCCTTGTTTCACACGAGTTGACAATGATTACACATATTGCTTGCAGTAGTGTGGAACAATTGATAGCAACATATAATGTATAGTGCGACATTATTATCATATGCTTGTGTCAGTAATGTGCTATTTTTCAAAAAAATCGACTTTTGGCCACCAACAAAATCTGTTAATATTTGTAAAACATTAACACGTAATTTATAACAAATGCAATATTACCAGGATAGTATAGATAACATAACGAAATTTCACTGGTTGAGCCATACAATTTGTATGTGATTTTTCATCTTACTAGTGCCTATTAAGTGCTTGCTAGCATAATTCTTTAAATTTGATTTACAAAGTGACTATTTGTTCACATGATGTTAATCAAAGTGTGAATGCTTACATTTACTACAGACTAATTAAGTAGGTAATATTGATTGTACTTTAAAATTGTGATCACATCAGTCAATACAATTGCCATTTTTATTATATAAATGCAAGTAGCTCAATGGAGCAAACTTTATGAAATATTGTTTTTTTAAATAAAAACTGTACAAATATTACCGATATCAAAGTCATAAAGAACGTTTTGTGTTCGAGGAATTCTGAGTAGATTTATTTTTTAATTTAATATAGGAATTTTCTTTGATATATGTAATTAAAAATATTATGCATTGCCATATTATATTTCAGAACGACAAATTAGCTAGTGAAGACCGTATTAGGAATGTTCACACAATTTTCTAATACAATACCAGTAGGTAGGTTCGTATGCGCCCAGAAGTCACATCATCGAAGTTCTGCTATCGTCCATCGAGGGCCACTGCTTCTTCTGTACCACTACAGTCCACACATTCAGCAAGCGTTAGTATTAGGGATTTTCATCCAAACCATACAACCACTGTTAATTTATTTAATAAAATTTTCATAAAGGCCAATAAAGAGGGTCGTAAGTTTGTGTGTTATCATAAGTAAATTTTGTTAGTGCAGTTAGTTTGTTAGTAAAAAGAAGATTGTTATTGATGTAAAATTAAGATTGCTAAATTAGTTAGCGAAGTTATTAAACATGTCGTGTGAAAATTAACATTTTTAAATTATATGATGTAGGTATGAAAGATGAAATAAGAATGAATTTTGATTTGAGATTGAATACTAAAATTGTGAAAATTATTTACGTATTATATACGTTATATAAAAATTACCATCTTCATCGCCCAATGGATGGATAAATTTAATCATCTGTGCATAAGATGGATGTAATGGTATTAAACTAATTCAGTATCCCAAATCAAATTTCGTGTTAATAATATTACCACAACAACAAAGTAGAAAATAAATTTCAACAAATGAGATAACACAAACATATCGAAGAGAAACAACATATAGAGTACTGACACAACAATAATAAACCACGTTAAGAAAAACAACAAAATGATCGGTCAGATCTAATCTAATAGTAATGAAAATAGTAAAAGTAACATAACAAGGGGAAGTACACACAAAGGGATGGACTTTTATGTAGTAGAGTCGACGATGGACGACGACTTCTCTTCTGCTGATTTTGAGAAGTAACGGATAGCTGTTATATTATAGTATAGCAAGAAGGTAGTATAGGTATTTATAAAAAAATAAAATTGGAAAACATTTTTATGCTTGATTTTGCTTATAATTTTGTGGTTATATAATTTATAATATTGTTTACATACTAAAATTTAGATTGAAATATGGTAAGTCGAGATAATATTAATGAGTAGTTTGGATTCTAAAATATATTATTAGTCATATGTAGTCCAATATTTTCATAAGATTGCTGTTATTTGTTGGATTAGTTCAGAATAATATTTCCAAATTTTCGGTATTTGATTATAACTTGAGCAATTAATACATAGTACATATGTATACATTATTAATTAACTGGCATATGTAAATTTGAATTATATTGTATACTATTGAAATATGCATATGCCAATAATGTTCCCAGATTGGGATTTGTATTTTCAATTGCAATTATTATTAGAATGCATTTTAATTTTATCTCAGTATCAAGTAATACTTTTATGTATTTAAATTCAGCCGCATATTATTATTAACTTGAGCTATACTATTATAGTATAATTCGTCAAATAGAACAGCTACCGCACGCTCTGGGCATCCGAACCTACCTGCATCGAAGAGGATTTCTCCGACATCATCGTCATCTTCGGTGCGTGGTGACTTGATGTGGGCGTTACCTTCGACGGTGCCGCGCGGCGCACTACTGCACCCCAGCCACCAGAAACCAGTTGATCGTGGGAACGCTGGATTGTCTACATCCACCTGTATCATAATACTTAATGTAGCATATAATAGGTATACAATACCAGAGACATGACATCTTAGTCCTCTGGAATTACAACGCATGAGTGGTATCACAGGTTCCACATGAAAACGTGATGTCCGTGTAGCTGTTTATGAATATAGGTTACGGTTACTGCTTATCATCTGGTAGCCGTACCGTTAGGTGGGCCGTCAGGGTTTTACTATTCCATACATATACAAAAAGACATCAGGTATCCTTTCTTTGCCAGGATATCGTAAGAGGCGACTACATAAATATCTCAATGCAAGAGAAAGGAAATTAAACCACACAAATATTATTGCAGGAATAAATGGTATTCCATTGGCATATAGTATTAAAAGTTACGCCCTCTGGCGACGAGTGGCAAGGTACATTTAATTTTAACTATGGCATTAATGCTATCAATTTTATTTAAGAATGTATTTGTTCTTAGAATATATTTGTTTTTAGAAAACAAAACAACCATTGTCGTGCCTGTAATGCTGCCACCAATTTTAGAATACAATACTTATTCTGTACTTACACTGAATGATCTATCGTTAAACCGCCAGTATGAGCCACCCTTGAAGAAGTATGTATATCCATTTGTGTACTGTAAGGCGGCGTCAATGTTGTCAGGAATTCCTTCCCAGTTCGATACAGGTTTAGGGTAAGTGGCCTTAACAGGTGGTCGCTTGGAGGGATCAAACCTCCAGAATTTAGAGCCCTTGTAAAAGTAGATTTTGCCATTGCCAGACCATACTAGTGCAGCGTCTATGTTATCAGGAATACCACTGAAACCTAAGAAGAAAATATACGTTAATATATTGTACTGGTATTATAATTGTGACTTTTTAAGATTATATTACGTTTATTACACTAAGTCACCATTTACAGGATGACAATATAAAGGATTATTATAAGAGGAATATGTCTTAAAGTAAGACATAGTATACGTTTATACTCATTTAATTCTAAACTTCTAGACACTAATTAACGTAATTAGTAAGTAAAGCAATTCAGTATCGATAAATACCCAAATAACATACAGAATAACATTACAAACCTGAATAATTTTTAATTAAAATTGATTACAATATCAGTCATTAGCCCAGACTAGTGAAAGACCACCTACAAGATTCATTACTATATTAATTGTTAATTTTTGTTTTAGCAAAGGCTAAATATTATTATTTTAAATAAATCTAATTAATATATATTTATGCACATTTGCCATATGTAAGCATGTGTAGGTAGGTATCTTTTGCTTGAATTAATATTTCTAGAACTTCATTTTATAAAATTTTCCTCAATGCATCGTAATGCGTCATTCTAAATTGCAGTACAGTCCAAACTCCATTAGGAATGCAGCAGAGAGCTTGTTTTTAATATTGACTGAAGATATACGAGTGAAAATGCTTCAGAAGTCATTTAGCGTGGTGCGTTTTGTTGTCACACAAATATTTAAATGCCCCGCAGTATTTGCATTAAAATTGTTTATGTAGTCTTAACACGGTTATTAGGGCATTCTTATACACATTTATTATGCGCGGTTAATACAATGAATGGAATTACCTAAGCTGCTGAAGTTATATCTCAAATAATAAGACTCATTGATTGGAATGTGGTAGGTACTTTGTATACGCCACAAAATATATAATGCATAGATATGTGCAAACAATTAAGAATAGGAAATAATTGATTATGAATATGAATGAATTGGTTAACCTGGGAAATTAACAGCGAGTGAACATTTAAATTATTATTAAATTTAAAAAAATGCTTTATTAACACGGTACTGTTATTCTATAAAATATATATAATTTAAAGCAAAATAGAAACAAAATAAAAAAATACCTTCACTAATTTCTTTTGGATAGTCTCCATCCATCTTTTGACCATTATACCTCCAGTATTTAGAACCTTTGAAGAAATATGTCTTGCCGTTCTTGTATGTGAATGCGGCGTCGATGTTTCCAGGTAGGCCAGGCCATGCGCGCGAGATCAGACGAGGGTAGCCACTAGCCACGCCATCCTCGGTCAGTCTCCAATAGTTCTCACCTACCCCAAATTCCATATTAAGCATTATTTAAAACTTACAGCTACTTACTTACTTACTTACTTATAACCTAAGTATACAAAATAAATAGTAGATGAAGATACTGCAATTACTTTGTTCCAGTCGAGTTATGATCGCAGAGGAGTAAATATGAAGCCGTTTTTTATTTTTATTATATCGACCTATTCTTGATGTTTATTTTTACATCACTGTAACGCTCTAAGTTATCCTCGGTTTATAAAATTTTATAAAACGCTACTATCTTTTAGTCTATATACTCTTGTAGGAGATATTACATTTATGTTAATTATTTATATATTATTAGTTCATATTATGAAGTACTCGACAATGTAGTTATAAATTTAATTTAATTTTAATAATCTGACATCTGGTCAAAAATTAAAGAAAAAATACATACCCTTGAATATAAATGTAGCTCCATCAGCAGAATTGAAAATAGTGTCGAATTTAGGGTTAGCACAAAGCGCGGGATCCTCTGCTGATGGACGCGGAGTTGCTGGCTTCGGAGCAGGGGCAGGTGCGGGCGCTGCGCCTGGACCAATATCCGTCTGAACTTTGCGACCGTACAGTGCCTGCAATGACCAAAAATTCATTTCATAATACTATTTTACCCCTACTTACATTATATAAAATATAATAATACTGAAGTAAATCTTTATGTAACCAATATAAACTGTATTCATTACAAAAAGACTAAACCATTCACATAACGCGCATACAACGCGCATGTTAAGTGCAAAAAAAGTCATATTGATGAAGTAATTTACTGATAGATAGTTTTAAGGGAGTTGATTATTCAATTATTTTTAAAAATAAATTTCATTCACCAGTTTCACTAGTCGTACATCTCTTTACGACTCCTGTATAGTTTCCTGGAAGAGATTTTTTTGTATTAAGACTAAGATCAGTTTACCAATACTGAAATAATAATAACTATCATCATTGTTGTTGACGTACTGGCCACATACTTTTATAGTTCATATATTGTATTTTTTATTATTAAAATAATTTTATCATTTTACTTGAATACAGAATAGTCTAATAAAAAACTTTGAGTCAACACCAATCATAATTTGAAGCACCAACAATGCATGCAATGAACTGCATCCATTAATTCTGGAATATTTGGAGGTCGTGAAGACACTGGAAGAATGAAATTGTCCTAAAGTCTCGCCTTCCTAATAATGTTTATTAAAATTAATATCTTACCTGTATACCCTGGATATCATCCTGGTCAAGTTGGAAGGCCGGATCATAACCTCTGTAGAATGGAGCCATGAGGGCTGAGCGAACATCGCTATGGGATAAACCAAGCGAGTGTCCAAATTCATGGGCCGCTACCTAAAATTATAAAATTTCTTTATTAAGAAGTATCCTATATGCAACTACATGGTTTAACTTATTTCTTTTAAATTGAGGAACAAAAATAATTCATCATCAACCGTAACATGTAGTGAGCTGTAGAATCCAATTATTAATAATTTACCACCTTATGTAGATAGTATAAATCAACAGCAATACTACACAAATGTAAGTATGTCCAATGTTGTTAGTGTATCATGAACATCTAATAACATTTTGATTATTATGAATGATCTATGTTTCTGATATACTCGTTGGTATCTTTCAATCTTATTAAACCATACCGTAAATACTTAATGTTAACCGTCATTTCATATAGGTGCTAAAAAGCGTCTGAGTCTAAGTTCTGAGATACTTTATTTAGTAAAAACAGTTTTTTTTATTTCAGGTTACATTTGACTGTTTCTTTTGTCATATAAAACTTCAATGGATCATTAAAAACAAAATATATCGTCCTGTAAACACTACACACAACAGGTACGAGATAAAACAAATATAAATAAACACTATATGTATTGTCTACATAAATAAAGTTGTAATAAATTGTACGTGAGATGAAAATTCTATTTTATTTTTCTCACTATATCAAGTATGCAAATAATAAAAACACGAATACCATATTAATTACATTAATCATTAGCGTCATTTCGTCATTGGGTATCTTCGGTATTTTCCTCAAAATATCTTTTTAACATACACATTTATCGAAAATGTGACCTACTCATAATTTATACATAATATTACTAATAATATAAACAAAATAAAGTACTTTCCATTTCTTTAATTCGATTAAATATTTCAATATATTTTTTTATAAGTTTCGTACAGCAAATATTTTTATTCATATTAAAGAATTAGATTAAGTTTTACACATTTTACAAGACGCTCTCAACAAGCAATTCAGACAAAGAATTACGGATTAGAGTGCCCAAAAACAGTTAAATAGAATAGGGACATTTTGAATGTACTTTGAATACATCTTTATTAAAGAGGACAGACGACGACTTTCTAAAATAGTAGCTTATGGAGTTATTACATTCTTATTAGCTTATGTTTGTAACATAGACTTGGCTATATCTCAGGTTGAAGATACGTGATCTTCAACCTGATATAGATAAAGTTACTGTTTATTGAGAATTCGTTTTGTTTACGCGTTTAGTATAAGAAATCAAAGAATAAACATAAATTACTTTACCTGGAATAGATTAGTTCCCCTCCGGGAGTTGATAGTCCACGTCTCCGCGTCGTCAAAATGGGCATCACCTCCGTATACCTGGTAACACAATGTAGTAATCAATTTACGATGTAGATCCTATTCAGTCTACAGTTTCCATCACCGATGCGCGATAGCAATTCTTTCAATCGACTTATTGCCGTAACAATCGACCTATTGCCGTAAATATTTACGTTGCGCTCCACTCGGCATACTATATGATTACAGTAAAATAATTTTCGTTAATCTAATAATTCATTACAATTCCAACATCCATCACTTTTTTAAAAAAAATATACTGCCTTGAATTATTCCTACGAATGATCTAAAGACAAGTGTATTTTATTTACAATATATATTCATTTATTCCAGTACTTTTGGACTTAAAACCACAAGTATAAGCAACACTATACACGTATCCCATGGCGTTTCCTCCGTTAATTCGGGTAGAACCGTCCTATGTTAATTTAGTTAATTCAATGTTTTTGCATTTATACTTAAAAAATACTGAGATAAATTATTTGGTACAAATATATTATGTTTTTAAGTAAGTACTAATTATAAATAAACACAATACAAATTAACTGTTTACTCACTACCGTTGGAATGAATATTTATTATCTGATTTGAATTTAGATTATTTTTTCAAATAAGAATTACTTGAACATGCGCATATCAATATTCAATGCTTTAGTACACAACAAGGAAAAAAACCATTTATACTGAATAATATTCAAATAAATTTTAATTGGAAAAACTATAGGTAAATTAGATATAATGTGAACTTTTTTTTATAACAGTTAATTTGTAGTACTAAATTGTATGATTATACGTAACTCTGCATTATATACTATCATTATAATATTAAGTACTATCTTCGTATGTCATCGTAATATAATTGTTTACTACTATGACTTAAACCCAAAAGTCGCGAGTTCAAATCTGGCAGAAACCAAATAATTATGTATATTAAAATATAGTTCTGACTCTTCTATAATGAAAATATCGATAATAAGTCAATTTAATCTGAGAGGCGGAAATAAGTTCAACCCCAGCCAGGTTTCCACCCCTACACTCAGCCAAATGTAGGCATGACAAGTGAATAAATATATTCAGATAGTTGGCAATACCTATGATTACACCAACTAAGTAAACTTACTTACCAATATTAATATACACAAATCTAAGCGAAAACATTTGTTTAATTGGAAATAATTATAATATGTAACAAGAGGACTAATAACAGTTTTTTGGTATAGGCAAATTCGAATTCACTACCTTGGAGTTTTGGAGTGGTACAAATATTTTCGCTTACTCGTAGATTAGTGTATATTAATATTGGTACGTATGTACCTAAATATAATACTTACAGGGAAATATGCGTGAGCCAGAGTGCCGCCGGGGCCATCGAATGGATCACCATCACCATGCTCTCCTGTTTCGAATCTAAAACATAATAATTTTAATATGAATTATATAACATTTACCACTCATTTTACATATCATTTACATATCACTCTCAGTATCGCACATCACAGCATTGCTCACAATTGCAGATTAAAACATGATACTCGAAATATATAAAAACCTGATATGGTCTCTACGAGGGATTGTTAATAACAAAAGTGGCCTCATTGCAAGCAATGTGCCATGTCAGCTTGCACTTCACGCGGCCACCCTAGACATCATCATGTCACGTTTAATTCCTGGTAAATTCGCAATGGTGGCCTAACTGATTTGATTTCATATTCAACATGTCATCTTGCTCAGATGTCCTGCCAACGTTTACCGTTAGCGTAGACGGAAGCACCATTTCATTGCGATCAATAAAAAAATCTGGCTCTATTTCATAAAGAAACATAAACAACGATCAGATTATTAAGGTACTATTATACTAAAAACTATCAATCATTTAGTATTCTTATATAATTAAATCACATTTTATGTAGTGATGAAACGTAACTTGTAATTGCATATCGAATGTAATTATTACCAATTTATTTCCATACAGTCAAGTTATGAAACTTGTTGACGCAAATCTATTGTATGTAAGGGAAGAATTCCTATTTAGTTCAAAAGGGACCTGGTATTATGTAGTATATAATACAGTATGAAGTAGATAATACATTATTATCTACGTAATATTATCTTTTCTCGTTTATAACTATATCGGTCAGCTACGAGCATACTAATAAAATAAGTATTATAAAAGATTTTTATTTCACTATCTGTTATCAATCATCTATTGCAACATTTATTACATCACTACAGTGACCATAATTTTAAATATATGATAAATTACTTTGGACTCTATTATAATGTTTTCAATACAATAAATAATATATACACCAGTAACAATAGAACATCGAGTAGGTAAGGCAAACAGCAACGCATACAACTCAATGTTATCCATTTGCGTTCAATTACGCAACAAAGATTACCATGGATTGTGACGAAAAACTGTGATTACTGGTTCAAATAGTTCTACACACACAATAGACTATGTCATTGCATACATATATTGTCATTTCCATGTAGTCTAATACAGATATTAGAGATCTGCCTACACATCACAAATTCCAAGAATCAAGGAAACAAGCAAACTCCTTTAATTATAACACTTTCGCAGACAGTTTATAAGCTAACCTGACTTCTATGTGGACTTGTCCGGAACGTTTCTGTGTGAAGGTCAGGTCTGTGTAATCAGACCACACGGAGAAGGCTTTGGCAAGTTCGAGGTCTACATCAGCCTGGTTTAATCTCGAAGGGTACTTGGATATTCTGTATGTTAAGTTCTTAATACGCCACCTTGAACCTAAATAGAAAAGGTATATAAAACAAAGTGTTTCGTTTTGATATCATCTGTCCTCCGAGTCGACCTTTACTACTTTTGACATGACATAAAGACTGTTTTATAAATTACAATCTAATATAGATATATTATTCTTGAGATAAAAAAGGCAAGTATAAATATCTATTTTTATATGATAAATTAAATTGCATTTTAAGGGAATGTAGAGTCGTTTAATTACTACTCTATATCCTCTTAAAATCTATCATTTTCATTATCATTATTACCTTGAAGAGCGTATCTCTTAGCGCGGCTTTCCCCAAAACCAACTTTATCTCTTACGCCACATCTTGGCAGTGCCATCACTTCTTTTGTTTCGTCGTCTAATTCACCTGAAAAATTAAAGATTATCTCATGTTAGCAGTAGTCTCCATACTTTGATCAGTAAAATTACAATTACTAATAAGCTTTAGTCGCGATATATTTAAATAAATTTAAAAAATAATTCATTTGGTTTCAATGACGAATAAAGTACATAAACATCTATAAATAGTAAAACTAGCGGCAGAATTCAAAACTTTTTGTGACAGTTGTCGCTGAGGAAGTAATTACACAGTACCATCGACCAAACCGCTCGCGGAAAACGATGAATAAACAGGAACAACGCCTATAGACTCACACACAGAGCAGACATTGATTGCGGATTAAATGTAACTATGACAATCCGTAGCTTTGTAAAATACTAAATGTCTGCTCTATACGCATAAACTAAAAATAATAATTCTCTTTAGTCTCTTACATTTTTTTTTCAACGACGATGTAGCCCATTAATTACCCATTGTTGTTTTTTACGACATTTGCGAAATTTCGAGCATAATCAATTTGCAACTATCGTTATGTACTGAATATAAAGTTACTTTTTTAGTAACACTATATTTGAGTCATATCAAGCAATGTGTTTGTAACAAATTCCATCCGAACTCGTGCAATGGCCCATAATGAATTATTTATTTATATACGTCCGCGGCGTTATTTGCTTACATAATATTCACTTGTACTGGTAGTCAAGACCAATAAACTACTTCTCATGTCAAAGCACGTACATGTCACAAAACGATTCAAGTTCTGCCCACATAATTCTACGATGTTTAAATAAGTTGGATGACCGTGGTAGTACATAATCGTAATTGCAGTCTCAGTATGTACGACACGATGGCTGTAATATAAAAAACTTCAGGGTCGTTCAATTACAGATTGTCGAGAATCACATGTTATCTCATATGTACATTAACTTTACTTATGTCACCATTACCATGTGAGAATGAAATAGCAACACTCACTGTTAATTTTAAATTGTTTTAAGTAAATTGAGACACTATGGCAACAGTGGGCTAGCGTTAAATTACGATATAAATTACTCGCAATAATAAATCAAAATGCCAAATAGCCTAACTAGCAATAATACCTAGGCAATATATCCATTTTTTTTGACATTATTATGCTATTAAATTTTCGCTATATGTTACAAAAATAAGGCCACCGAATCATCTTTTTCAAATATTAAGTATTTGTATAATTAATCCAATCTGTGTTAGACCACATTCATTTACACTGCCTTGTGTTTTGCCTTGACACTTGACGCATCTTGGTAAGGCCTTTATTTACTGTTAATTATATCACTACTGAATACAATACACACTGCCGTCAGTCTTATGGATAAAATATATATAATTCTAAATTTTCTATACTAAGTTCCTTATATATACATATTGTAACAAAAACAATACTTTACCTAGTATAAAGTGACAATAACTTGTTTTACGAGCTAAGAACGATTTGTTAGAATTTTACTCAAAAGTCATTTTCTGTCTTTAAAGAAAAACATAATAACATTCCCAAATATAAATACTTACGCCGTATTTGCTTAATTTCTTATGAAAAGAACTACTACTTGATCTCTACAACTATATGAAGCAGACGACAGATGAGAAAGAGCGAGAGAAAATAAATAAATTTCCTACAAAATTTATTTCAGCACCTATCAGTTGTATGATGTTTTATAACTTATAGCCTTCCTTAATAAATAGGTTATCCAACACTAACAGAATTTTTGAATTCAGGAACGCTATCCCTAAGATCAGCATATTCAACCAATCAAACATCGCCTTGTAATATTAGTATAGATATGGAAATAAATTAATATAAAAATTTAAAATGTAATAAAAGTTAATTAATTACTTACCAGTCGCATTTAAACCAGCAAAACTCTGGAACTCTGCGACTGCTTTTTTAAATAAACTTTCGTCTATGATATGGCCACTCGTGGGATTTCGGACCATTGGGCTTAAATATCCGAATTTATCTAGGTACATCTGAAATTAAAACAATAATATAATTATTTTGTATTATGTATTTTATAAATTAATAACATTGACCATAGTTTTATAGTATGGGTAAGTAATTATACCCTATGAACGATAACCATTGAGCTGTTTGGATTTACAGTACAAACATTATATTTTTTATATACTGAAAATAGCAAAACAAGGTCGCGTATTTATTAAAAAATCGTAACTTCGTCTACAAAAATAAACTCCATGGCGATCACAGAACTATGAATTCCAGTAATTAAGCATAAGAAGTAGATTTATCTTTTATTTTAGTGGTTGCATTATCTTACGAACATTCATACTTTCGTATGAATATTCGCATCTCGCAAGTATTATTTTTATCATTATTTAATTAATACTTGCTCTTATATGCGATTTTTTACGAGACTCACATTTACTTAAAATATAAGCCTCATTAAAATCCTTGAAGTTGTTCACTGCTTACGATTAAAAACTTGACTAGGATATTCATATTTATACACACCTAGGCTAGAGACTCAGACTAGGTAACCTAGGCTCTGATTTCGTTACAGTTGTGATTGAACAAGTTAATTACTACAGAATAGGCAATTATGAATCAAACAACGTGTTTGACTCACAATAATTATTATTCGCAGATTTCTCATTACTTTCCTGTATAATCTTGGTTATCTCGTAGCTACTCGTACATGATGTTATCACGCATCATCGCAAGGTTACCCACCCATTGTTTATTGTCAACGCCTTTGATAAAGATAACATACAACGAAGACGACGTAAGTTTAAATTCTATTACTGTTTATGTAGTGCTATAGAATAATTGTAATTCTATTAACGGTAAAGAAAGTTTAAAATACAAAATATAGCAATCGTATTTACAAACATTCGCCAAGAAATAAGAATCGAAACGTTTACTCCTTACTCTCCTCCATACTCCCTGAATATGAGTATATATCTTGAAATATTGTGTACACTTGGGTAGTATTTAGGAAACTTGCATCCTAATTACTAAGTGTAGGTATACAAGATTTAATAATAAAATTTGTTATAAACACGTAATGTTTGTGCAGGACAAATATTTTTAAATTCATTTATACTCGTATAAATATATATAGTATATAACAGTCACTTGGATGTAGCTGCGTAGACTTGGAAATTATTTTTCCAAATTTAAAAAGCAATATATATATATATATATTATTATTGACTGACTCAGGGTAGGGAATCATACACGTGCACGACCTTGGCAGTGGCAACGGCAGTGGCTACGGGCGGGGCGTGCGCAGCATTGCAATATGTGCATGCGCATAATACACACTTCTTTGTTCCCAAACACCGCCCGGGGAATACTCGTAATTGACAACAATAGGACTGCTACTCCAACATTGTCATTACCCGAAACACTCCGATCATTATTGTTTTGTACAACCCTGAATAAATTAGATATGGATCAATATATAACCGAAGTTAAATATGATATTAGTAAAATTATTTATTTGTATAAAAATAGAGTATTAGATATCGATAATTATCATTCTTTTCATATAAAATAATACGGAAAATTTTAAATGGACGTACGATATAAATTTATTGATATATATGATATTTTCACAAATTTATAGAAATCAATCTCAATTTAATTTTATTTAGTTAAATATCTACGTACAATACAAAAATGATAGGCTGGCACAAGAATGCTCATAAAAAGGTTATTTTGAGGGTTTATATACACAGTAGAAAATGGAAAATTCAACCCACACATTAAAATTTGCTCGTGATCTTTTTGTTGTTAAAACTCTTTATTTTACTCAATTCATTTGCGAATCTCCGTTAATAAATAAAAGATTTTATATTTAATACAACCTTTTAAAACTTTAAGATTTTTATAGCAAAAACAAGTATTATATGTTAAACAAAGAAATATATGTTTTAATTATGCTAATCTCCACAATAACAGATAAAGTAGAGATATGGAATGTAATAGTGATAGCAATTAATGATATTTGTGTCATAAACTGATAGAAATAAATGCGATCGGAAGGAATACTAACTAGGAGCGCCCTAAACATATTTTTAATAGTGCTAAAATTGGTAGGGTTTTCTATAATAAAACTATCCCGATTAGTAATTGATTGGGTTTTTTATTGTATACAAAATATTGTGGTACAAGTCCTAACTACATCACAACATGTGAATGACTAAAGCCACGAGAACCTCGGGTTTTGGGTGCGCTCGATGGCTAATGCCGCAGCGGGCGTTGACATCCGCTGGCACTGGCTTCGATTTTATATCGTATTGTAAACACAACACACCGAGTATTTGTACAATACCATTTTATTAACAAAGAATGTTTGTATCTACATTCTTACACGGTTGATTAAAACATTTTTTTATGTAACTATAAATACATATGCTGATCGCTCACCCGATGTTAAGTGGCAACCGTTGCCGTTGCTTATATACAAGAATAACATCACGGACATCACATCATATATGATGCCAGTACCTACCTGTGTCATGTGTTGCCATTCCGGAAGACTAAGATGTTAAGTTTCCGTACCTTGTCATTTTATTGTCATACTTAGCAAACTCCTTGGCTTTAAAAAAAAAGGTGAGATAGACCAACCTACATAGGCGACATTATACAAATGACAGATGTTGATAAAGCATTTTAAAGAAAACTTTTCTTTTTTCGAATATTAAAGAGAAAGTTTTTTTAAATATCTCTGCAAGGTGCGAAATTTGTGCTAGTTGTTGGTACACAAATTCCTATACATCTTATTCTGGATTGTGCAGGATGTTTTATATCCAAAGATGATGATTGCTACTGTTGATAAACGTACAGCTTTCTTTTGTATGGCAGCTATATACAACATATAGATCATATTTTTGAGTTCAACAATGTATAAGGACCATTTCTCTTGAATGCGATAATTACGGGGTCAAAAATACATATTTTGAGGTCAGTATCTCCTTATAACGGTCGGAGGTTGTGCTTGCGGCGAGATCGCGGCCGACTTTGTCGGCAATCGCTGTCGGTATGTGCTACATACCTACTTCATTTATGCAAATTTCGTTGCCTCAGGACATTATTGTACAGCTCAAATTATCGCGCGTCATTACTAACAGTGCTAATAGAGAATAGCAGTGACTAATACGCATATATCCTTAAAGTAGTAACTACATAATATATTTATATCACTAAAAATCCGACGTTTCTGTATAGTATTTTTCGAAAGCAACTTTAGTACCTAAAAAAGATTTTCAATTATCTTATTATATATATTGAATATGTATTTCAATGATATTTCGGTTCATTACAAATCTGGCTGTTATAATATACATTTGTATGAGATATCGATTTTTTTTACAGCAGTGAAATTCTATAAACATATAATAACTGTTTACATAAATCGATATCATTAAAGCAAAGTAATGATTATCTTGGTTTAACATACTTAGTGTGTAATTACTTAGAAAATATGATACTAAAGTTATTATTTACTTACGGCAAATCAAATACTACTTAACACCTACTCTGTGTGTAACATTGTGAGATGATTTATCAAATGGTGGTGAGGTGAACTAACTACTTTATAATTTATGTAAATATGGAATGTTCAAAATAAAGTAATGTACCTTACATTAAGTAAAATGGGTGGTAGTACATTTAGTGCACAATTTAAAGCCAATTTCAATTTTACAGACAAAACTACTTCCGTGCAAATCGATTAGGTATTTATTTTGTGAGTGGTTAAACTAGTTTTTCGTGAATCATGTGATTATGAATTCATTTGAACAGATGTTATTTTGTGTTCTGAATACATTTAAAAGACCGAATGAACTATTAAACTACAATCGTAAATAATCTACTGATTTAAGCCAAATTTAGACCAATTTATTGTTCAGAAATACTTTCACTTTTACATATTTAAAAATAAATTATAGATATTTAGGAATTTCCCGTAAATAAGGCTCTAGTATATGCTTAGCTTGGCAACATGCATGTACCCATTATTCTAGTTATATTAAATATATGTAGTACCTATAATAAGTTATATCATGGATGATTTTGAATAAAATTCGTCTGACTACCTATTTCAGCGGCCAATCAGCTCGCTTTGTAAGTTTTGTTTGTTGTTTGATAGTAAAATTAAAGGATAAAAGGCTTCATTGATTATATTCTAAGTCCTTAGAACTGGCAATGCATGTGTGGCATCGGGAACGTCACATATATTGATGTTTGTAGTGCTGTTCATGTATATAGGCGATGAATAAGAAACATAAAAAAAAATACCATAAAAAGTGGTAGAGAAACATTAAGATCTGAGTAGAATCCAATTTCATAGTAGATAGGAGATGAAGTTAAGAAAATTAATATCTTAACGCTAGGAAAATATAGAACTTATGAATGAAAAAAATTTAAGTTGGTAACTTGAAGAAGCCTTGTTTTGGGATATTTGGTATTCATACGTAGCTACAATTTGTGACTACTGTACAAACAAAGAAATATGTTACGTGTCCATAATTTATTTACACGACAACTTCTATATTAATTAACCCATAATCCAATATGATTTGTTAATCAATATAATGTAATGTAAGTAAATTTAAATACAAATGACCACAGATATACTGCATAGACAATGTTTTCGTATGAATAATAAAAACACGCAATAGTACACATGTGCAACATAAACCATCACTCACAGAACTATTATGTATATTTAAATAATTACATGTAAACTATGAGCACTTTGAATGACACCTTCATTAATATTACGTAATACATTACTATTAAATAGTGGCATTGGCTGTCATTGATGACAAAGATAGATACCTGAAATTGTTTCTGTTCAGAAACAGTAGCGATGGTATGTGTAGGTATTTTATATAATGACATAATTTGAACTGTCTATATCTGACTATTAAATTTAATCATTAGATCTCTAATGATTAAATTTAATAGTCATAACACATATTTTAATGGAAAGATATATACA